ATATATATATATATATATATATATAATTTTAATTAAATGTCAAAATAGTTCCCATGGGTTCTTTTAAAATTTAGTTTATAGAAGTGTTAAAATAGTTGATTTTTATTTTAAAATTGAGTTTTAATAATCTTTCATTGGTTATTTTAATCTTAATTTAATGAGTTTGAGAAATATTTTATCACTTCTATATATTTGGGGACTGGGGAATATTTACTCACTTTTATAAATTATGGGACTAAAAAAATCTCATGAAATAGTTGCGTGCTATTTTGACACTATTTTATATCTATTGATATGTGCTGGTAGAGTAATGAATTAGTCTCAACTTTGTGCGAGAATTTAACACGGTTGAAAAAAAAATGTAACTTTATAATAAAATGTAGAGTCTAATATTGTATTTTGATTTTCAATGTGTTGACACATGAAGACATAACGACGTTGTACTAGACAAATCAATCTGTCTAGCAACTCACAAATTTTTTGTATGGGTTCAGAAATCTTTTTATGAAGTTGATTGACTCTCTAACAGTTTCCATCATCTTACGAATTTCTTTCAACCCATTTTGTATCATCGTATGGTTGTAAATTCATCCTCTGAAAAGATTTAAACCAAAATCCTCAACAATTCCTAGAGAAATGTTGCATCCAACAACCAAATAATTACACCTTAGATACCATCTAATCGTTAATTAAATTCATTAAACCTCTTCAATTGATGCTCAGATTATATCAGAGGAGGACAATCACAATGGGTTTCCAAATAACGATTCCTTGTATGTATTTAATGATTGTCATTGACAAAATATACTGATAAATTTAAACATATAAAACGGCTTTAATGCATCATGCAATTATCACAATCACAAATGCAGTTTACTGAACGAACCACCAATGTCATGCCAAACCCGACCAATATGTTGAACTCACCACCAATTTTTCTTCTAATAAAGCAATCATTTCCAATGAAAGCATATTCTCAAAATACATCACCAATGCCGTGCCAAACCGACACAAAATCATAACAGATGAACCAACACCAAAACATTGAAACACCATAACCAATGCCATGCAAAACCCAAAATATCGGTAAACATTTTTTGTAATCGGCTTTCAAAGATGAAAATGTAAGATTGATATAAGTTATCGAGTAGGCCAATAAGAGAAGGTGAGGTCGGAGAGATAGAGATGAAGCTACAAGCAAACACCAAAGCATACCACCGAATGTTTGTAGCGCACTGAAACGCTTGAGCAGTGGTTCCTCAACCTAGGGCTAGGGATTTCAAAAAAAGACAAAAGGGGATGAAAAATACATCAACACGGAAGGAGTCTTAGGATCGGGATTCATGATCGGAGTGGTTGCATTTGGGAATGAAAGTAAGTTAGGGACCTTCGGGTTTAGCCATAACAGAGCATATGTTTCAAATACTTAATTCACAGAGCGAATGCTCTGAATCGTAGATAAGTCGCGATGTGGACAGTGGATATGAAATCCACATTAAATTTCAATCCAAACATAGGTTAATTGATTCAATCCGGTCGTGACTCGAAATCAGATAAAAAAAAAATTTGATCCAGAAGTTTGACTCATAGCTCAGCTCATTCGATCTAGATTTGAGCTCAAATTCGAAACAATTTTCGAGCCATTAACCATATTTCAAGCAAATTTCTCAGTCCTAATCATCTGAGAAGTGGATGCTGAAGATGGAAGCATTCAAGCAAATTTCTCAGTCCTAATCATCTGAGAAGGGGATGCTGAGGATGGAAGCATTAAGACTTAAGAGGGATACGTATTTGATAATATTAAACATTATGTATAAATAATGTTATTTTCGGGTAGAATTCCTTTAAAATTGGAACTAAAGCGACGTACTCACAATGTAGCAACTTGTGATCCGCCGCAACGTCACCACAAACACCGCACAGCTGTCTTCGTCCGCATGCTGCGCCCGTTGAAAAATATGGAATTACTTTTTAACTATCTACGTGTCGTTTATCTAGTGCTCTAACGGCTAGGGTTAGGCAAGTAGGGCCCACTTGGCTGGACGCCAAACGTGCCGCGCGGCATGCTTGAATTATTGAGATTAGAGAATCTGTAAAAAAAAAATTTTTAAAAATCTTTTATATTAAAATTTCGGTGACGTTAATATTTAAATCAGTAAATTTTTTTCAACAGTAAAAAATGATATTCTCTCACTCTATTTAATGGAAAAAATCTGATTAGGTAAGAACTGCGTATATCTGTAATTTACTAATAGGTTACAGGGAGGGCATTGGGGGGTTATAACAGCCTTATACCTTCTATAACCTTTATGTAACCTACAAATATATGAAAACAGAAACGCAGAACTTGCTAGAAGATACATGTAAGTTATATTGAGGTTACAGGGAAATAACACAGTTATAACCTCACAATACACTCCCTGAAACCTATTTGTAGGTTACAGACGTACACACCTCTGCGTACGTCTTACGTATGCAAATTTTTTCTCTAGTTAATAGTTTTGTTGGAGGTAAAAGTACTCTCATAATATATGAACATAGAAGAGAAAAAAAAAACATTTTTATATATAATTAATTAATTATAGGTCAAGTTATTAATTTATATTCTCCATTTAATTATATTAAAAATTTATTTTTATAGATCATAATTTCAAATCACATATTCTTAAAAAAAAATTGGGGGATTTACATATATACCAAACAATTCCTATATATTTATATATTTAGCACTCAATTTTTAACATTTACATTCATAATACTTAGAACTGGGTGGTATGTATCTAAATGTCCCATTTCTTTAGAAATATTAACATTAAATCATCATTTTGCATGCCCAAGAAAACGTAGTTGACACAGTTCTCTTAACTATTCTAAAATCATTTAAGTTTGGACAAATACCATATAATATAGATTTATATGATAGATAAATGATATGTTATGAAAAATGACGGCAAAAAAGTGAAAAAATAGGATAAAAAATTGCAAACCAGAAAATAACACACTGATTTGTGTGGTTCGGCTAATTTGCATGTGTCCATGGAGCTGCATAGGATTATAGTATTTTGAGAAATTACACCGTCGAACGCCTCGACGTTTACAATAGAATTTCTTTTCTTTTTCTCTCTTCTTTTCTTTCTTAGCTCAAGAGAATTTGGCTCAGCACTTATGACAGACCAAAATAGGCTATTTAACGAAAACGGGAGAGTGGTAGGTAGAGAGGTGGGTGGGGTGAGACGCGATAGGTGAGGTAGGTAAGTCACAGACTTCATATATTTAAAATGATATACAAAAACATTATATACTTATATATAGATAAATGCAATAGAAAATTAGTTAAATGAGTTGGCACAAAAAGAGATGAATACAAAGAAAGGGAGAAATTTTAATATCTCATATGACATATTACAATAAATTATGCACTGAAAGTTTTTAAAATTGGTTTAATGGTCTGATTTGGGCTTGTTTTGACTCATATTAAACAAAATTTAGTATCATCCAACCAATCTCGTTGAGTGGGTTGGTTTAACGTAATTTTGCAAAAATCAGATTTCTCAATGATTTATAATTTAAGTTTGAATATTTTTTACTAAAAAAAGTTGTCTTGAGAATTGTTTTGAACAAAAAAAAAAATTGTTGATGGCGTACCAATGCTACTTAAGTTTTCTATCATGTTGATACTTAATTTTAAAACATAAATTAAATAGTATAGCATTACTCTAATTATATCGTTTATACATATATTTTGATTACTTTCATGTAATTAATAATTATAATTAATAATTATGATTAAAATTATTCAAATCAGTTTGAATTAAACAGAATTATATATATATATATATCAAATTTCATATGATTTATCCATGTGCGGCGCATATATATCAAGAACTTTATTGTCAAAAATGTTCTTAACATTCTTCAATAAATTAATTAGATAGTAAGAACGGGTTTATATCTAATTTGTTAGCTAATACTAAATATTATCAACTTGTGTCTGTAATAATTAAGAAGTAGATTGGTCGGTTTGCTGACAAATTAGGGCTGGAATGTAATTTAGCAGCTTTTGTGTACTTGACTGCAATTTAATTTTTTTTTTTAATTTTCTAGATAATGTATTTAAATGATTTATTTTATCACTAAAGCCGCTTTTTTAGTGTCTTCTCTTCTTCAACAATACTATTCCTAATGCTACGACAAAAACAAAGCGACTGCAAATTAAAAAAAGGATTAGGAGTCAGCTGTTTTAATTATATAATTTATTATTCGTATATATATATATAATCTTTGTACCAC